GTACTTCTACAACATTGTATCACTGACCTCTTCAACATTGTATCACAGACCTCTATAACATTGTATCACAGACCTCTACAACATTGTATCACAGACCTCTACAACATTGTATCACAGACATTTGAGTTTGGATAAATTGTTATAAAAAAATGAAAGAATTTGTAAAGTGAATTGTTTATATTCAGTGTGCCAAATACAACTATCTGTTGTATGAAATAATAATGCCAGTTACTAGTAATAGATTTTAATTTGAGAGAAAAATAACAATGGTGTATTTATAATTCTGAAAATCGTATCTCAGAATTTGATCTTTCACTTTTTTTAATCCAACAGATGAAGCTGTTGAAGAAGACGATACTATATATGAACCAGGTAAATCATTGAGGGATTTGATGATATTCTAACCAGATTCAGGGGCCTAACAATGATTCACAATTTTCTTGCCATATTTAGGGGCCAAAAATTAGTTCGCAATATTCTAGCCAGATTTAGGGGCCTAAAATATTTTCGCAATATTCAAGCCAGATTTAGGGGCCTAACAATGGTTCACAATATTCTAGCAATGTGTATTACCATTGTCTCTTTGTTTCTCGCTTATGACTACTATACTATACAGGTTCTGATGGCGTAGTGATTCGTTTATTTGATGGCAATCAGTCATTTAAAAGAAGAGTATCCCGCACAATATCTGTTCCTAAGGACGCACACACCCATCAAATCCTGGTAAGTTTCTTGTGCTGTTATTACTACAGTGGGTAAAAAAAAAATTAATCCATTCAATATTTTTTTCTTTGCAGCATTATGCGATCCATATTGGGAGTGGATACTGCCCTCTATATTTAGGGTGGATAATGCCCTTTATGTTTAGGGTGAATAATGCCCTCTATGTTAGGGTGGATAATGCCATCTATGTTCAGAGTGGATAATGCCATCTATGTTCAGAGTGGATAATGCCATCCATGTTCAGAGTGGATAATGCCATCCATGTTCAGAATGGATAATGCCATACATGTTCAGAGTGGCTAATGCCATCCATGTTCAGAGTGGCTAATGCCATCCATGTTCAGAGTGGATAATGCCATCCATGTTCAGGGTGGATAATGCCATCCATGTTCAGGGTGGATAATGCCATCCATGTTCAGAGTGGATAATGCCATCCATGTTCAGGGTGGATAATGTCATCCATGTTCAGGGTGGATAATGCCATCCATGTTCAGGGTGGATAATGCCATCCATGTTCAAGGTGGATAATGCCATCGATGTTCAGAGTGGATAATGCCATCCATGTTCAGGGTGGATAATGCCATCCATGTTCAGGGTGGATAATTCCATCCATGTTCAGAGTGGCTAATGCCATTCATGTTCAGAGTGGATAATGCCATCCCATGTTCAGGGTGGATATTGTCATCTATGTTCAGAGTGGATAATGTCATCCATGTTCAGAGTGGCTAATGTCATCCATGTTCAGAGTGGATAATGCCATCCATGTTCAGAGTGGATATTGCCATCCATGTTCAGTGTGGATAATGCCATCCATGTTCAGAGTGGATAATGCCATCCATGTTCAGAGTGGATAATGCCATCCATGTTCAGAGTGGATAATGCCCTCTATGTTTAGGGTGGATAATGCTCTCGATGTTCTTGGCGGATAATGTCATCCATTTTCAGAGTGAATAATGCCCTCAAAGTTTAGGGTGGATAATGCCCTCTATGTTCAGGGGGGATAATGCCATCCATGTTCAGAGTGGATAATGCCTTCTATGTTTTGGGTGGATAATGCTAAGGGTGGATAATGCCATCAATATTCAGGGTTAGTGATGTCATCCATTATCCACTTATTGACTAATAAAAATTATTAATTTGTATTTTTTAGGAGGCAGCTCTGAAAGCTTATCAGATAAGTGAAGATGCCAGAAGCTACTATCTTGCTGAAATCACAGAAGCAGGTACATGTAAGACACAAACTAAAAATTGTTTAACTTTTCTAAGCTATATAAAATTGTTTGTCTTGTACGTCTGAATATCGAGTCTCATAATTTGCATTACAAGCTTAAAGAAGATATATAGGTTGTGTATGAGCCATCTGAATCAAGGTCAAAGGTCAGTACTTAATAGGCAAAGCTGAAGAATTGTATCATACTATTTTTTTGTTCTCGTTGACATATGATATGATTTAAAACCAAAAATATTCTAATATCAGTTTTAAGTTGATTTTGTTGTTTTACTAGGGTCTCATTTGCATGAAAGAAGGTTGAAAGATGCAGAGCATTGTTCTAACCTAGGTAGAAATAACAGAGATGGAAGACCACCCTCGCTCTTCTTACGCTGCGAGGTAAGATCATCTTGTTGTTGTGTATTGCGTGAATGTCTCTTAATCTTTAACTTTCTCTGTTTGTATATACCGACTGGGTTCAGTGGGGGGTTGTGGCATGTTTGATGATTGGCTTGCTCATGGTGCTTCATGACTGATGATTGGTCAACTCATGGTGCCCGACAGTTGGTCCACTCATGGTGCCAGACACTTGGTTTACTCGTGGTTCAAGTCAGTTGGTCCACTCATGGTGCCAGACACTTAGTTCTCTCGTGATGCCAGCGACATTTGGTCCACTCGTGGTGCCAGACACTTGGTCCATTAGTGGTGCCAGACACTTGGTCCACTCGTGGTGCCAGACACTTGGTTCACTCGTGGTGCCAGACATGATGTTGGTCCACTCGTGGTGCCAGACATGATGTTGGTCCACTCGTGGTGCCAGACACTTGGTTCAATCGTGGTGCCAGACACTTAGTCCACTTGTGGTGCCAGACACTTGGTCCACTTGTGGTGCCAGACATGATGTTGGTTCACTCGTGGTGCCAGACATGCTGTTGGTCCAACCATGGTGCCAGTAGCCACTGAATGACTCAAAAAATGAGTTTATAATGCTGCTGGATTATCTGTTCAGAAAAAGTACAAAAACGATACTTATGTATTGACTTTTTTGTGTCCATCCATGCATTCCCATCTATATCATAGAGGTGCCGTATCTATGTTTCATTGTCCATTGTCAACAACTATATCACACTCTACTTGTATAATTCTAGGAGAAAGATTTGAAGAAAGGCACCATTAGAGTGTACCCTGGTACTTTGAAGTAAGTATACAAGATTGTATTTGCATCATGTTTTGCTCAGTGAGTGACACGTCGTTCAATACTTGAAATGAACGCATTTGTTCAGAGTTTTTCCAAAGCTACATAGCTTGGAATGTGTGTGAAAAGGCAAACTTGCAGAAATCATATTTAATTATAATCCATGATTTTTTTTTTTTCTGACAAAAATACATTGGTTTTCTTATTTTTTGCTGTTTTGGTGTTATACAATATTCATTGTTTACTTGACGTTACAGTTGTGGTCATGTACCATATACAGACCCGCCAGAAAGTATTTACGCAGCTACTACCTACGATATCATACAATAAAATAAACTCAATAACGGTTTGAATAAATATATTTATATATCTAATAAAATATGCGTTTTTACACACAATAAAAACAACAAAATTGTCATTGTCATGCAGGATTGAATAAA